TATATATATATATATATATATATATATATATATATATATATATATATATGTATACAATTAAGTTAAGAATTAAAGATTAAAAATTATTTTAATTGTCATTATTATGTTAATAACAAGTAAATTCTTGGTAAAACTTTATTTTGGAATTCGAAAAATTTTTTTTTTAATAAATTTTTGTGTATCTTCTAATAGCTTTTAATTAAAATTAGAATTAAAAAATGTTAATTTTAAATTTAATTCATATGTAAAGTTACTGCTTTTTAAGCATTTGATAGGTTACTAGGACGCCATATTGGTTTCCAAAGTTCATCTAATAAGTGGAGTCATTATTTATGTGTTGATTATGATAGGCATTAGGTTACATAAATAATGTTTTCAAAATTACTTGGAATTAGTTGGATTAATTTTTTTTCCAGCAACCTTAGATAGCTGGCGATATTAGTAATTATTATTATGACTTAACAATTTTTTAAAATTATTTTTAAAAAATAAAATTCTAAAGTTGAATATAATCATACATAATCATATATAGAGCGATCAGAGAAATAAAACATATGCAATGCATTTGTACAAGTTAAATTTGATTTATCGCGCTTAAATAGTTATTATCTATACAGATTCTTCTCATTGAACACTAATCAATATGGTATTCTAGTAATCTGTCAAATATACTTAAAATTATTAATTTTATGTATGATTAAGTTTATTAAGTTAGAGTTAAGAATTAAGTTTTGAATCAGTGGATTTATAAACTTAAAATTAATATTTTTTAATATCGTTCGTCAAAAAGTTTTAAAAGGTATAAAGTAAAAGTTAACAATTTTTAATACTCCAAAATAAAGTTTAACCAAACTTTTGATAAGATTTTAAGATTTTAAATATTTTAAATTCTTTAAGAATAATTTTTAAATATTTGTAATTATTAATGACAGAAATATTTATTCTGACATAAATCAATTAAATAAATAATTCATGAGAAAGTTACATGTAAGAATTCTTATCTTATAAACATTTTTAAGTTATTGCAATATAGCAATTGTTTATTTTTATTGGATATTTTAATAAATAATTATAAATTTAAGAATTTATATTTAATTTAGTATTTTAAAACATATTTTTTATAGAAAAATATTAACAAAAAACCATTATGTCAAAAGAAAATATTAATTTACCAAAAGCTCCAAAAGATTTATGTTTTTCTGAAATTGATTTTATTCAGGTAAATTAACATTAAGATTATTTTAAACTGTAATATATTTTATTATAATATTATCTTAAATTAACAATTTATATTTTATAGCAAAATTTTAATGTAGATGCTTTTCTTCAAGAACATAGAAAAAATACAAAATTAGAAACAATGCGAGATGATCTTGGAATATATTTAAAATTATTAAGATCTGCTATGATTGATTTAATCAATAAAGATTATACAGATTTTGTAAATTTATCAAGTAATATGATTGGTTTAGATAAAGCTATTAATGATTTACAAACACCTTTGGGTCAACTAAGAGAAGAAGTAATGGTAAATTAAAAAAAAATTTGTATCTAATCTCTAATTTTTGTACAATATTATAGAAATAATTTTTTATAGCAAGTACAGCAGATTTTAGATGATGAAGTTGTAACAATTACCCATAATATAAATGAAAATAAGAAAGTTCGAGATTATAAGCAAAGTATATTCAGTTTACAATATATCTATAAATCTTTAAATAAAATTACATCTATTTTATGTTTAAATACATTTCTTGAAAATCCTGTTAAAATAGACATTTTGGAACAAGCTGCAGCAGAATTTAATCAATTGCAATTTCATATATCTAGATGCAAACTAAATATTACTAACGAAAAACAGAAAGTATGTGCATTTTTAAAAAATTGAGAATAAATTTTTTATTTTTTATTATGATATACAATGAATAAAATTTTATATTACAGGAAAGTGAAAAACTAGAACAATCTTATATGACACATCTTAATGAATTTTTTTTAGCATGTATACAAGAACAAAATTCTGTCTTATTAATTCGTTGTTTAGGAATTTATGTCACACTTGATAAAATATGTGATGCAGAGAATTTAGTGAGAAAAGAGATTATTAGTCCATTAATATATAGCATAATTAATATAGAAAATTTGCAAACTGATTTATTAGGTCTACAAAATATATATAGTAAGTTGTTGACCATCTTAAATGTAGAGCTTAAACAATTATTAGATATCACATTACATCCAAATAGGTATGTAATTTATAAAAGTCAAATTATGTAATTAATAGTATAGAAATATTTTTAGATTTTGTTTTGCAGACTTTCCGTGAAAGGTTTCAATTTTCTAGTAAATAGTTTTTGGATTGATGTAGAAGAAAAAATCGAACATTATATAAAATACATCTTTGCTCCTGGAGACCCAATATTATTCCATTCAGTAAGTGAATGGAAAGAAAATTTTATTAATAGCGTACTATATATAGTATTTTATACATATACATAATTTCAGAGATATGTAGCAACTTTAGAATTTTTAGAAAAGTTAGACGCTGAATGTGTTACATCTGAATGTTTAATTGCATTAAAAAATAATTCACAATACAAAAATTTTTTAAAAAATGGAATTTACCAGTATATTTTCAAATTAGATTTCAAGAAATAGTTAATGGAATTGAGACAATTTTAATTGAACCAATATCACCATCATCTATAAAAGGAACATTGGAATCTCTTGCATTGCAAAATGAATTTTCTCTTTATACAACTTATATTATATGGGAAAATCTACAAAAAATTTGGAATAATAATATATATCTGTATCAACTCTTCCATAAGTAAGTGAAATAATAAATAATATAATAAATAAATAATATAATGAATAATAAATAAAATATTTATTTATAATAACAATAATTTGCAATGTTTTGTTTTTAGATTTTGGAAATTCAGTCTTCAAATATGTGCTAGATACCAAACATGGATTCAAACAGTGCTTAAAGAGGTATGTTTAATATTTTAAGATAATATATATATAAAATATATATTATATAAATATAAATGATATAATGTCCTAAAAATTCTTTCATTTTTTTATAATAAAGAATTATTCTATTGCAAAATTAATAGATAAATATCTTAATATCAATGAAAAATAGACTATATGTTTCTGAAATATTGTCTATCAAAGTTTATTAAATAACAAAAAAATTTTTTAGATCAATGTAATTATGATCAACAATTTTAATTTTCTTTTTATGCGAAGGTATGGCCAATAGAAAATGAAATTAACAATTTAAACAAAATAGAACATTCTACAAAACTTAATTTCTTAATCTGTTTGTATAAGGATGCAGAAAAATTTATAAATATGCTTCCATCTCTTTTGGAAATATCTCGAATAAAACTTAAAGAAGAAACTCCAACAGTATTGAAATTATTAAAAGGTTATAACATAACATGTTAATATTATTATCATTAAAAATTTTTTTATCGTTATATATCTATTTTTTCATAGATTCTCTTGACGAAACAATAAAAAATTTAAAAAAGATTTGGCCAGATATTACAAAAGAAATTGTAAATGAATTATTGAAACAATGTGTAGTACATTTGAAACAAGTTAGTGATATACCAAGATTATTTAGACGGACAAAAAGAGATATACCAACTAAATCATGTGCCTATATTAAAAATACTCTTGCATTTCTTATCAATTTTCATACAGATTACAAAAAAATAATACCAGATGATGTTAATTATTGGTTAGAATTGACTCTTTCCTCATTAACTGAACAGTAAGAAAAAAAAATTTAAATATTGTTAAACATTAATATTGTAAGTATTATTTTGAAGTTTATCATTGTTAAATATTAATTTAAAAATATTTATAGTTATCTAACTTCTGTAAAAGATGTGCTTACTTCAGTACAAAAAACTGAAGAAAGTTTAAGAAGATTGAAAAAAATACGCGATAAATCTACAGGTTCTTTTTCTTCTGAAGTTCAAGGAATCAGTGATGATGAAAAAATACGAATTCAATTACAAATTGATGTACAAACTTATGCTAACATGGTAAAATTTAACATCATAATTCATTTTTTATTAATTAAAATTTATTAAATTGTACATTTAAATCATATTTTAGATTACAGAGATGCAGATTTCAACTTCAAATATATTTTATATGAAAGAGCTATTATATGCTGTTGAAACAGCAATAAAAAGATAAATGTTATTTTCTTCTGTTTATTTTATTTTTATATAAATTAATTTTGTTATTTGCAATGAAAATTTATTTATATATTTTTCTCTATTATTTATATATTATTCATTATATAATATTTTCTCTTTTAATAAGAGAAAATTATAATAAATAATATAATATAAATAATAAATTTTTTCTTTTAATTTTTTAATGTATTAAATTTTGAAGAACAAATATCCAAATTATTTGCTTAATAGACATATATTATTTACATAAACATATTTATATTACAGAAATCATATTTATGATTTATATAAAATATTAAATTCTTTTTATATTAAACTTTGATCCCAAGAATCACTTTGTGGCAATTCAATGGAAATTATTGAATCTTGATGAGGATAAGTTGGATGCCACCAATCTAAAATTTGATAATTAACAACTTCATTCAAAATAACTTGGTTTGTTAATGTATTAGGAATATCTGATGTTCCAAATCCAAGTTGTAATCGATGATCTTTAAAACCAGGCATTAAAGTCATTGATACTGACTGTAAGATCAAACCAATTACAGGTGGTAACATACTATATTTTAAACAAGTTACCTATAAATTTTACAATATTGTGTAAATATAATTTTATCACAATATATAATATCTATTATAAATAATTCATAATTATTTATAATAAAATAAGTACCCGAAGTATTTTACAACCTTCTTCTATATTCACAGCTACATCTTCCAACATTTCAATAAAATCTGTTTTTTTACCGTTCGTATTTTTTTTTTGTTTTAATAAATTATTTGTAGTTTTTGGGCAATTCTTTTAATTTGAAATAGAAATACCAACGCATTTTTCCTTCCTAAAACAAAGTATTGATAATTACTTTATAATCAATTAATTTTTGAGCAAAGAAATATTCTTTAAATACATTCTTGAAAAACCAAGAATTAAAAATACAATATAAAACAAATATAAAATTATAATTATTAAATTATTATGTTTTTAAATGTCATGAACTCAATGATATGAACTTGATCACTCTTCGATATTTGAATAAAATTTGATCTTTAATATAATAATTTCAATCATTATAATTGATATGTCACAAGTTTATAATTTTAAATATCACTAATATAATTTTTATAATCAGTTATAACCTTCTAATAAATTTAAATATTCATAATACAATTTTAATAATTATTTTTGGTTTTTAAATAGCTTTGAATATTAATAATAATTTCAATGAAATTGAAACAATTTTAATCATCCTCTTAATAAAATTATCTTGATTATACTCTATAATATATTAAATATCATTACATCATTTTAATGATTCTTAAAATTCAAATAATAGAGAATGTTATCAATTAGATGTTAATAACAATGTTATTGATTTCAAGTTTTAAATTTCTTAAATCTCTGCAAGATTTCAAAGTTTTCAGACTTTAATATGATTTCATATTATAATTTTTTTTATAAAAATAATTTTTTATAAAAATTTCCAAAATAATCCAATTATTAAAAAATATTGTTATTGACTATAATATTATATATTACTACATACTTTATGCCACATAAGACAGCACTGTCTTTTTACAAGTGAATGTGGTTCATCTTGTCTTAAATAGGATACATCATCAACTTTTCTTTTCAAAGCAAAATAAGTATAATGTAATGTTCTGATGACACAAGCTCGAAGTCCATGAGTACGAACCATACATTGTGGTTGTAAACGTTCTGGTAAACCAGGAACAAATTTATAATAACTGTAATTATATTTTACTTGATATTATTAATATTTAATCAATATTTAATTAATAATTATTATATTTTTACATAAAGAAAAACTTACGATTTATACAAATGAAACCAAAATTTTCCAGTTGAAACTACATAATAAGAACTTTTACATATTTGAGCAAATTTTCCTACAGCCTCAGGACTAATATATTCAGATATAATAAACCATATATCTAATGGATAATCTATACCTAAATAAAATAAAATAAAAATATGTATTTTTAAACTCAAAAATGTGAATTTTATTATTTGCTATTTTTTTGTATCTTACCTTCTTGTTCCTCTTTTTTAAAATAATTTGTCTTTTTATTTCTTTGATTTGTTAAAACTCCTATAAAATGAGCTTAAATTAATTTAAGCTTATTTGAAACTTAAAAACAAAATATACATATAATTTAATACTTCTAAATGTATTTACCTTTAGTACTTTTCTTTGACTTATTTGAATCATACAAATTATTTTGATAATTTTCATTCATTTCACTCAAAAAACCTTCTTCATCTATTGTTATTTTTTGTCTCACTGTTAAAGAAAGTTTATTATAATTATTTATTAAACAATTATAAAAAAAATGAATGAAATTTGTATTATATAAAAACATTAGAATATAAGATTCATTAAAATGAATTACAAAATAACCTTCAGAGGACACATTTATTATTGCTTTTTTAAATCTTGTGTGTATCCGTGATGAATTTGCAAAGTCATTGATTGTTATATCTATTATAAAAAAATAAAATATTATTTCGTCAATAAAATATTACATTTTTTTAAAATATATTTGATGTGATGTTTAGGTATTATTTTAAAATAATTAAAAAGGAATGTATATGATTAACCTCCAATCAAATTGTCATTGCCATTTTCCACATTTACTTTTTTGCTAGATTTTTTCCTTAGAATAGGCATGATGTTAAACGTTATATTACTATCTACAAATTAATCAGGTACCAGTTGCAACAAAATAAAACTTAAAATTAATAACTATTTACATTAATAATAGAGAATATTGTAAACACCCATCATACTTCTTACAATTAGTAAAGTCGATAAAAAAGATGTACTCTATTCATTTTCGTACCATATTAAACATCGTGTTGTTTTGACTGCTATTTTATATTGTAGGTAATACGTTAGTTTCTTAATTACATTCAAATTATTAACAATTAAAAAAATGAAAAACAATAATTCAATTTATAAATTTGTATATATTTAATTATTTAAAAACACATGAATTGTTTTTTTAACAAGTTAACATAAACATACAATTAACATAAACATAATATTAAATAATTTAAAATTCATTAACATAATTTTATTTTGTTAATATTGTTTTAATTTTGAAATACTATATGAAATGAATCTTTATACTGAAGAAGAAAAACATATTTTTAATTTTTTGTATCAGCAAAATTGTTGTTTAAGATGTTGTTTTCGTTTTATTGGATGGCGTACATTGAACTGTTTTGAAGATCCCATTAAATTTGCAAAACATGTAAGTTTTATTTCTAAATATTTATAATTAAAAAGTTTTTAAAATTTTTATATAATATATAAAATTTTTCTATAGGTTAGATATATAGAAACGGAAGATATTTCCTTTAATGATGAAATACTTTGCATGGCCTGTCTGGGAATTCTTCAAAATAAAATACAAGAACAAGTTATTAAAAAAGTATGTTGAAACATCTGATTTGAAATGTTGATGTTGATATTTTATATAAATTTCAATAATTTTTCAATAATAAACAGATTCAAGTTGAAATAGAGAAACAAAATTATGACAGTGGAACATTCACATGTGCATTAACAATACCAATATGCATCAGTCTTAGAGAACGCTTTTTACGTATTCAATGTGCTACTCAACTTAATCTTTCAGAAAATACTTTGTTAGATCTTAAAATTAAACTGCAAAGTGTAAAAGATGTTTGGAAATGGATAATGACTCCTAAAATAGAACAGGCTATTAAAAAACAAATGGATTTAACAACACCTTCTCCATTTCTAATTGAAGTTATTTTAACATATAAATCTAATGAAAAAGAATGTGAAACATTGTAAGTTTTCAAAATTTTTTTATTTCTATTGATAAAAATTTATTTCAATTTCAATAAAATTTTTTTACATTAGATTAAAAATATACAATGAATCAAGTAACATGGGAAATAAATGGAAAAGAAAATGTGATGATAATAGATTCAGCAAAAAAAATATAGAAACTATAATGACAAAAATAACAGACAAAGAATTTTCTCAGCATTTTAAAGCATTATCGTTTGAAACAAATACTGGTATTTTTATAGAAAATATTATGTGTTCACATTCAAGTATTTTTATTGGAGGTAATATATTTATTTATATAATATTTACTGCTAATTATAATGTATATAATTATAGCTATAATTATTTATATTTTGTATGATTTTATAATTATTAATATACATAAATTATTAAATATACCATATATTCGTACTATAACTTCAGGACGATATAATAAGCTATCAAGAGAACTCAGTCAAACACCATGGTTTATAAATGGTGAAAAAAAGATGCAGACATCTGTTCAAGATATACTGTGCAATCCTATTGCTGATATAATGAAAGCTCAATGTAAGTCAATTTAATAATTTTGATATCATAATTAATAATTATGAATTATATAATAATAATTTCACTTATAATTTAATATTGGCTATTAAATTTTTAGCTATTAAATTTTTATCATCTGGAAGAGAAGATGTGGATGTTAGAAATATATATTCAGGAAGACCATTTGCAGTTGAATTAATTAATCCTCGATTGACAAAAATAACAGAGGAATTATTGTCAGATTTAATTAGTAAAATTAATCTATCTTCACAGCAAGTACAAATTGTCTCAAATTTAAAAGTTTTATCCAAATTTGATCTGAAAAAATTGAAAGAAGGAGAAAATGTTAAAACAAAATTTTATCGAGCACTTTGTATTTGTCGTAATGCATCTAAAAACATGCTTTCTCTTGAAAAATTAAATAATTTAAAATATTTAAAAATAATTCAAAAAAACACCAATGAGAGTATTACATCGACGACCCTTAAGTCCTAGAGAACGTTTAATATATGAAATGAGAGCTCGATGGATGAAACCTCAAGAATTAAAAAATTTGAACATAAGTTCTGAGGATGCTAATATTTTTTTTATATTAGATATTAAAACACAAGCTGGAACGTATGTAAAAGAATTTGTACACGGAGATTTTGGACGAACAAAACCAAGTTTGTGTGACATTCTTAATGTTGAAATTGATATAGTTGCGTTGGATGTAACAGGGATTAATTTAAATTGGCCATAAGAATTATTTCAATTTTTAGTATTCGAAATATTGCTATTACATATATATAAATATAAAAAAATATAAAAGATTTTAATAATATGGTATTTTTATAATAGAAAATATATACCTTTCATAATTTTAAGATTTTTATATTAATATGCATCTTTATATTTTAATATCCAAAAATGTTTCTTTACAGCAGCCATAGAGATTCTTTCTGAACTTTTCCGTTTAATTAACTGTAATATAAAAATAATTATTAACTTTTGAATAAAAAATAACAAAAATAAATAAAAATTACTTTTGATATCAAATCTTTAGCTCCTGGTGTAATTTGTTCTGGCCATTGTATATTTAATGTCTTTATTTTTGCATAAGTTTCTTGCTGTGAATCACTAAGAAAAGGTGGTCTACCAACAAGAAATTCATAACAAAGAATGCCTAAACACCAATGATCAACATATATATCATATGTTTGTCCTGATACCATTTCTGGAGGTAAATAGTCTAATGTTCCACATAATGTATTTCTCCTGCAATTATTTTTATTTTTAGAACTCTGATTCCGTTTTTATTATTATGTTTCAATAATAATTATACATATTATAATAATAAATGTACTTACTTAGATGATGGTGCATGAACAGACCAACCAAAATCTGCTAATTTTATATTACCTTCATAAGTAAGTAATAAATTCTCTGGTTTTATATCTCTGTGAATCACATTATTTTTATGACAGTATTCTAAAGCATCTGCCACTTGATAAGTATACTTAGCAGATCTAAAAAAAAACTTATTGATTAAAAATAATATATAAATTTTATTAAATTATAAATTATCTTCAAAATACATACAAATGCTCATTAAATCTTTCGTTGGGCTGTCGTTTTAATTCCTTATATAATTCTCCTCTAGCTGCAAATTCTAATACAAGATAAATACGTTTATGGTCATGAAAATATGTTAACATTTGAAGAATATGAGGATGCCTGGAAAATTTTATATAATATAAAATATATATTATTAAAAAATATTTTATGAATAAAGAAATTTATGAAATTATAAAATATTTACCTTAAATGTGTTTGAATTTCAATTTCACGCATCACTTGTTTCTCTACACGTCCTTTCATTAACTCTATTTTATATAAAGTCTTCAATGCAACCATATAATGTGTAGTTTTTTCTCTAGCCAAATAAACACGTCCAAATTTACCTCTACCTAGAGGTGCACCAATTTCAAAATCATCTAAATTCCATTGATATCTATTTTTATAACAACATTAAAATTGCAAAATATTTATTTTACTATATCATATAGTACTAACAATTGAAGAAATTTTTTCCTTTTTACCTTAATCCTCTAGCTTCAACATGTTCTTCCATTTTATACAAAGTATCAAGTACAATATCCTTGTAATCAGATGGAACATTAGATGGAAGTTTAAATGCTTCCATATGGGTCATAGTATTATAAATTATATGTTTTTCTAAAAATATCAAAAGATTTTTTAAAAACACTTTTATTATTATTTATTATAAATTTACCTATTGTTGTTATTATATATTTATATGTTTCAAAATATTCTTTAAAATAATAATTATATAATACTTAATATTTGAGTTAAATTTTTTACTAAAATAACACTTCACAATCTATCATTTATTCATATACATATAACAAATTCTTCATTATCTTTTAACTGACATTTTTTGATTTAAATTCATTATCTTTAAATATAACTGAGAGATCAAAGTGACATCTACAGAGTGAAAATTAGAAAAAAGTTCGATTTTAGCCATACAATATTTTGTAATTTAATTTCAATTTTAATATTAAAAACTTATTTCAAAGATATATTGTAAACAACTAATCTAATTTAAAATATAAAATAATTTTAATAGAATTTAGAATTAATAATAATATAATGTTTATTTTATGTAGTTGTACATTTCGTTAAAGTTTCCTTTCTATATTTCATATTTTCTACTGCCTATCAAAGTACATACTTAATATTTGCTGATCAATTTTGACATTTTGTAATAAATTTTTAACAGAAACGACATAAGAATACATATATATATATATATATACATAATGGTAAGCAAATAATTAAATTTTAAACATATTAAAATTCATATAAAAAATTAATTAATATTTCATAATATGAGTAATTAATATTATATTTAAAAAAGATTATGCATTATAATTGCATTTTAAATTGCTTTAAAATATTTTACAAATTTATAGTATGAATAAATGATATAAATAATTTTTTTAACAGAATGTATATATATATGTATTTTTGCATTTCTTCTTTTTTAGGGTAATGAAAGCTCGTTGCCTATGGAACTGTGTTCCAATTGTGAGTCAATATTAAATTATTCTTGGTATCTTAAAATAATTTATTTTGTTTTAAATTTTTCTTTTTAAAATAATATTATATTTACATATATTCTTATAAAATATATAATAATTTTAAATTATATTTATTAAAAATATGGAATTAAATTAATAATTTTTTATTTGTTAATTTACACATTGCTTTTAGTCTATTTTTATCACTAACTAAACATAGCATCTATGAAGTATTAACCACCATACTTGTTACATATATATAATCATATTAATTAAAAATATTATTTTTATACTTTTATTTTTTAATATCTAAATTAAAAAATAATTAAAATAAAAATATTAATCTTTTAGTTGATGTTGATGAAATTAGAAGATTAGGAAAACGATTTCGGAAGTTAGATTTAGATAATAGTGGTGCTTTAAGCATTGATGAGTTTATGTCATTACCAGAATTACAACAAAATCCTTTAGTACAACGTGTTATAGATATATTCGATGCTGATGGTAATGGAGAAGTAGATTTTAAAGAATTTATTCATGGTGTTTCTCAATTCAGTGTTAAGGTATACATAAATTTTATTATAATATGATCAAATTATAAATAATACATTTAAAAATAATTTTTATTATAGGGGGATAAAGAAAGTAAATTAAGATTTGCATTTAGAATTTATGATATGGATAATGATGGTTTTATAAGCAATGGAGAATTATTTCAAGTACTAAAAATGATGGTTGGTAATAACTTGAAGGATACACAGTTACAACAAATTGTTGATAAAACAATATTATTTGCCGATAAAGATGAAGATGGTAAAATTAGTTTTGAAGAATTTTGTTCTGTAAGTAATGAACTGACAGAATTACAAAGAAAAAATAATTATATAAAAATATTTTCTTTTATAATTTTAGGTTGTTGGTAATACAGATATTCATAAGAAAATGGTGGTTGATGTTTAAATTATCAAATTTATGAGAATAATAATATTAGAAAAAAAATTATAATAATATCAATTTGACTTTTTCATTATTAACATTAGATTTATTGGATAGTTATAAATAGAGTGAAATTATGATCTTTAATCAAGCCAATTTTTTTATATGAGTTTATTGTCTTTAAATATTCTTTTTATAATTATTATAATTATTATAATTATAAATTAATCATCAATTTTCAAAAATTATGCATATTTATTAAATGTAAGATGTCTTAGTTGAAAGAAAACATTTAAATATTTCTTGTTTTTAATGACATGTAAAAATGTTTTTGATAATTTAAATAGTTTTAATAAAAATAGTTTGAATATTGTGAAGAAATTTTTTTTGGAGCATCATTTTTTTTGATATTTTCTTAAAGTTATTGATATTTTTTTTATTAAGAAATGTAATGGTAAAATAATTTTTTTGTATTGTATTATGTAATGGATGAAAAGTATATTTGATGATGTCTGAATAAATCATAATCTTTAATTGATTAAAAATATATTAAACAATTATAAAATAAATAGAATAATAAACTTATTATTTATGTTAATTATTGTTATGTTTATATTGTAAATGCTTAAGATATTTATTAGCAATGAACTCGATATAGTTGAATTTTATATTTATCAAAATGTATAAATAAAATAATTTTCCAACTGCTTTTAAATTATGCCAGAAATATTTTATATGTTATTAAAAACAAAAAAGACATTTGACTAATCTCAACATTTAAATAGTTTTTTCAACAGACATATCTTGTAAATTATGCAAATTTTAATAATTAATCTTTCATATATATTCATAGAATTTAATATTCAGTCAAAAATTTTATATTCATAAAATAATTTTATTATTTCATAATATATAATCACTATTATTATAATATACAATTAATTAACATTATAAATATATATTATCTAATTCATTTGCAAAAAGCCAAAAAGTTATTTCAAAAAGTTTGTGAAAATTAATTATAATTATATAGATTATTTAAAAAATGTCTTTTTATATATTAAAATGTAATTAAAATATATTTTTTAAATATTATTCTACAATATATTTTAATAATTTGCAATATATTTTTAATTAATACTAAAAATTTTGAATTTTTATTAATTTTAAAATTTTTTTAATTTTTCAATTAAAGGTTATTATAACTGAATAAATGGAATTATTTTATTAATCCATAATACAAAATCTTTAGTTACATTAAATTAATCTACTAAATAATTGTTAATTTATTAATTGATAATTGTTAATTTCTAAGAAGATCTCTATTCAACTTTAAAATGTGAATTTTGTATTATATATATATATATATTGTATTTAATATATTATTAATTAATTAATTAATTGAGCATTTGAAAGAAACCATTTAATTAATTATAATTAATTAAGATATGAGAAGTTCTTTCTTGAATTAATAAAATTTTCCAATAGAAATTTTATGATTATCTCCAATTTTGAATAAAAAAATCATAAACAGGATTTTGAAAACTTTCAGGTGCACAATTATTTTTATATAAATATGTTATATAAAAAAATTAAATTATATTCATTATTTTATTCTAATTATTATAAATCTTGTATATTTACATATTATCTTAATGTTTGATCAAAAATTGAAAATATATTGAAATAAATCTATGTAATATATATAATATTTAATAATTTGAATCCTATATATTTTTTTATTTTCGTTTCTTCATTTAATATATATAAAATATATTTGTAATCTTATATTAAATATATAAGTTTATAAAAAGTATTTTAAATTATAAATTTTTGATTGATTAAAAACTAATGGTTCAGATTCCAAAAATAAATTTCAAAAAATATCAGAAAAATACAGATGTTTGCAGAGATGTATTAAAACCATATAAAACTGCATGATCAGACTTTTTAATGTCAATATTTATTATTAAATTCCTAATATCGTAAACATGTTAATAAACTATAAATAATAAATAAATACTTATATTTTTATCATATCTTTTATTTATCATTATCATTACTTGAACATAAAAATTATAAATCTCATTTTCTTTTTTATGTTATCTATAAATATATTTGATATAATATTAATCTTATAAATAATATAATATTATCTGTATTCCTTTTATAATATAATATAAAATTAAATTTTATTAGATATTTTGGATATACAAAAGTATTTATAATGAACAGATATATAGTATTATTTTGTTTTTTTACTGATGTAAATTACTGATTTTATAAATATTCTACATGAAAATATATCTGAATATTATATATATTATAAAAGAAATTAAAATAGATTCTAAAGATTCAAATGTTTAAAAATCGTAATTCATCTTATTCATTGAAAAAAATAATATAATAAATGAAAGCACATGGGAGCTAACCAAATGCTGTCAACGTTGACATATTTTTAAGGTATTGGTAGCCCTGTTTCATCCTCTGCCTTTCATTGTTGCTATTTAATACCCGGTGTGTTTGCGTTTTTCATTATTTCTTGCAGAAAGTTTTGCTGTAAGTCTTTTACAATCTAACGAAAAGTATTGACAATAATTATTTAGCAAACAAAAGAAGGCGGAGGGGGTAGCAGGAGGTGAAGATGGATAATTTGGAGGAGGTATTGCAAGCCCTTGACGAATTTCAGAAAGTGCGTCCAAGTGAAATACCTCGAGAACTCGAGGATTATTTATGTTGGGTTGCGAAAACTGGTGATCCTGTTTATCAGTGGTCACTAATTAAAACTTTGTTCAGGGAAAAACTTACTCGCGTGATGACCGAATTTTATGAAAGTTGTCCGACGCTTGATCTTGCACCGTGTCCAAACGTTGAGCATTTCAATTATGATATGATGAAAAGCAATCTCTTAGAGCGTTTGGAATCATTTGCAAACGCTCCGTTTACTGTTCAACGAATTTGTGAGTTATTAACAGCACCGCGCAAGGAATACAATAGAGTTGACAAATTTATGAGAGCTATTGAAAAAAATATCTTAGTTGTTTCTACTAGAGAACCTGGGCCAATAACCAGGAGAAATGAGAATGGAGATGGTATGGTCAATGGATCAGTAGATGAAGATCCATCTGTAACACAGCCTCCTCAGGATGTAGAAATGGAATATTGGGAAAAGGATTGTTCTTCCACAGTTACAATTAGCGTGCATACTGTTGAAAATGAAACGCCTTTGTTACATACTGTTGTACCAACTAATACTGTAGTAAAAAATGTATTTGGTACAGAAGAACTTTCACATGAGAAAGTAGAATCAACATCTTCTAAGTCAGATATTGTAGTATCTAATTTTATACAGACTACTTCAGAATTTTCTGGAGTTTCCAATTTGAATTCTCAAGCACAAACACAGGATTCACAAATTGGTTCTGCAATACAAAATTTGTCAACCATAGTTCCTGAAAATTCTGGAATTATTAGTGATGTTTCAGAAGCAATTATGAATGAAGATACTAGTTCTCAACCTAGTTTAGAATTGATAAATGAAGGAGGAGATGCTGTAGATTCCTCAAGAAAATTACAAACTACTTTCCAGACAAAAGATTTTAGCACAAATGAAAATAAATCAACAAAATTTTATATAGATAATTCTAAGATAAATGAAAAGACAGAAGTTGAATTAATGTCAATACATGTACAAGAAGGATCAAATAAAAATAAAGATATATTAGTTAAATCAGATATTGAACTTAAAACTGTGTTGGATAATAAAGAATCAGTTAATCCAATTGTTGAAAATCTAAATACTAATAAAAATTTGGAAAATACAATAAAATTAGATACTGGAATAGAAAACATTCAATCAATTATTGATACATCTATTTCAAATAAAAAATCACTAGATGAAATTACATCGACAACAAACAATTCAGAACAACTAACAAATAATTTAATTTTATCTACTGATAATATAAGTACAGAGGAGATTACAAATACTTCAGAGAATTTGTCTATAGATGTAGAAAATCTGAAAGATCAAACTAAAGAAGTAGAATTAATAAAAAACTCAAAATCTATAATAGAAGAACCATGTTCCAAAACTAATATAACAAAAAATTTTAAACAGAATCAAAAAAAAATGATTTAACTATCACAGAAATTGGAGAAGATGAGGGCAGTATCATAAAAACTATAGTATCTGATCCAATTCCTATTGTTGAGGAACCAAAAAACATAGAATCTATTAAAATTAAAGAAAACATTTCATCAATCATTGAAATAACAGAAAAGTCAGAAAATCTGCAAAATTCTCCAATAATATGTCAATCAGAAAACAAAGAAAAAATGTCTATTGAAGATAGTAATGTAGCACAATTACAAGGTAATAATATAACTTCTACTATAAATAAAATACACGATAGTGACACAGTAATCGAAAATATAATGAATAAAAAAGAGCAAAAAGAGGTGGAATTAATGGATGTAGATGAAGAAGAAACATTGTCTGTGTTTCAACAAGATGATGAAGTCATGGAGCAAGAAACAGTACAATCATCTAGAAGTTAATGATATGTAAGAAGAAGATTTTATTCATATTTTTTAATATTTGATTTTGATTTTAATAGAAAACATAAAAAAGAAAAATAGAAAAAATGGAATTTGTTTAAATGATAAAAATTTGTATTGTATTTCAAATATGATTTGTATGATTTTCTTTAAGTAATTTAATATATGAAATGCATAAAAAAATATTGTAAGATGATTTACTAGATATTCTCTAATCATATATTATATTACTGTTCCATTAATTTTATAATTACCACTCATTCAACTTCATAATTATTACTAAATCAATTTGGTATTGTACAGAGACTTATTCATATGAATTTCTAAGCTCCTATAAAAAGCAAAACACTGCCTATTTCCAGAACATTATAATATTAGTTATCAGTTTTGACTATGATTTGGATCTTAATTCAAATCAATTTGTAAAAAATTTCATAATAAATTTATGTGAATGAAGTTTCTATTTAGAATATGGCTGTGTTTGTAATTAAAGCATATGAAATTTTTACATGGCTCCTAACATAATACAATATGTGATATAAAAAAAGAAGCATTTAAACATGAATTTTGGTGCTTTACAGAATATTTTATTGGCTAATAGGAGCATAGATCTGACCAATTATAAATTAATTATAAATTATAAATTGATTATATAAAATCACAGTAAGAAATAATTTTGAATTTTAATAATTGGAAATAATAAAAAATGAAAAATATGTCAATTTTAAAAAATCAGTACTACTTATTAATGATATATATATTCACAAAAATGACTGAAATTTACAAATATTTCAATTATATTAAACATAAATGAATGGGATCAAAACATGAATTCCATTTAATTATTCAATTGATAAAAAAATATATTGCTATGTAAAACATAGTAAAGATAAAAAATTAATTTTTTCCGATTAAAAAATGGTGATATTATTCTTTGTGATGTTACTCTTTATGTTTTGTTCTATTTTCCAATAGATAGATATAATAATTAAATACTTGTCAAATAACATGAATATTGCAACATTTTCTTTTCTTTTAAAATGGAAATTTTATTAAAAACACATTTATTTAAAAATCTATTTAGTTTAATTACAATAACTTGCTTCTGGTCATATTTCCATCAAATATTTTTATGCAGATTTAAGTCTAAAAATAATACTTCTTCTTAAAAATAATTATAGTAACATTTATTATAGTAATTTAAAGATAACATATAGAACAATGATATAAAACATTGATATAATTTAAGAAATAACAGTGTACAATATTTTATAGAAAATATATTAAAAATCATTACCAAAGTGGAATTGTTTATAATACCTGCTTTATATTTTAGAATATAGCTTTGTAATTCTTATGATTATAAATTATAATTTATAATAAATGTCTCATATATATTATTTTAATAAATAAACGTATATCAAATTAAATTTTTTAAATTTTAAGTTTATACAAATTTAATATAAATACAAATTTAATGATTTGAAATTTCATAGTAAAAAATATGATATAAAATAATTTCAGAATAAAACATTGTATTTCAAAAATTAAATCAATAAATTTAATCATTATTTATTACAAATATGACTTTCAATACCTTTATAAATTATTTTCATATATTTTGTTAGTTTTTTAGTTCACATTTTTTAACAATATATACATATAATTTTCACAATATATCAATTATGTTTTTATTAATGTTTTTATTAATGTTCAAAATTTAAGTAAAAGTTTGATGTTGAATTAACTTATTAAAATAACCATCTTTCAAATTCATAAGTTCTTTATAGCTCCCAGTTTCTATCACTTGTCCTTGTTTCAAAACAATGACTTTATCTGCATTTTTTATTGTACTCAATCTATGAGCTATAGTGAGAACTGTTCTTCCTTGAACAGCTTTTTCTAAAGCTTTTTGTACATAATGTTCGCTCTCCGCATCTAATGCACTTGTGGCTTCATCCAAAATTAAGATTTTGGGATCCTAAATATTAAAAATATATAATTGCAAAATATATTAATTTTTATTAGATAACTTTGGTTTCAATAATAAATTTACCTTTATCAATGCTCTAGCAATAGCAACTCTCTGTCTTTGTCCTCCACTAAGGGTAATGCCTCGTTCTCCCACTACTGTATCTAAACCATTTGGCATATTTTCTGTAAATTCTAAAATGTGTGCATATTTTACAATTTCTTCTATATCATATTTTACTGAGTTTATTGCTCCATACAGTATGTTTTCTCTTATTGTTCCACTAAAGAGAATAGGTTCCTGAGAAACAATACTGATTTGTGATTTTACCCATGCTGGATTAAGAAACTTAAGATCATAATTATCTAAAAGTATAGATCCTAAATTAGGATCATAAAATCTTAATAAGAGTGAAGCTATTGTAGATTTTCCAGAACCCGATGCTCCAACAATAGCAACTACTGTACATGAAGGGATTTTTAAACTGAAATTTTTCAAAACCCATGTATTCTCTCTTGTAGGATAAGCAAAACTGACATTGCGAAATTCAATATCACCTGATAGCTGATTTTTCAGAATTTCACCATCATAAATTGGTATTGCTGATTCTTTTTCAATCAATTCGACTAAACGTATATTTGCACCCAATGCTTTATTTAATTCACTATAAAATGAAGACAACCCATTCAAAGAAATTGCAACATATACAGCATACCCTAGGAATGCACTTAAGCTTCCAATTGTAAGAGAAGAATCAGAAATCATAGCTCCACCATAATATAACACTGATAGAATAATCATATTTCCAGACAAACCAGTTAATCCAAAAAACATTCCTCTGCATAAACTTTCTTTATAACAAACTTTAAGCATATTATCTAGCTGAGAATTATAATAATTGGTTTCATTTATTTCTTTTGAAAAAGCTTTTACTGTTCTTATATTGCTAATTCTTTCTTCAGATATTGTATTTAGTGATGCTAAATTGTTTTGTATGTCTCTAGAAATCTTCTTTAAAAAACGACCACATACTATAGCTAAACCAGCAACTGGTGGAACAATTGCTAGACTAACTATAGCCAATTTAGGAGAAGTATAAAACATCATAGATATTCCAGAAATGCTCATAAAGGCAAAACGTAGTCCATCTGATATATTGCTTGTCAGAGCATTGCTAACAAGTTGTGTATCTCCTAAAAATAATTAAATATGAAAAAATAATATTTATATAATAGGATTTTTAAATTTGAATTTATACCAGATAATCGACCAACAAATTCTCCTGTATTACATTTATCAAAAATTGCTATTTCTTGTCGAAGAATAGCAGCATATAATTGTTTTCTTAAAGATTGAGTAATTCTATGTCCAGTAGTAGACATTAAATATACTCTGCAAAAATTACACAGACCTCCAAAAGCAAATATTCCAAATAAAATAATACATAATTGATTAAGATTTTTTTTCATATTATTTTTATCACTTGTATTAATGATATCAATTAATTTTCCTAAACAAAATGGTACTGCCATTGTTATAGTAGATGAAATTAGTAAAAAAGTAATAGCACTGAATAATCTCCATTTCTCAGGTACTGCTAGCATAATTAAATTTTTCAATTCGGAAGTTTCCTTTTTTTTTGTAATAAATCGTACAGTAGAATTTAAAGTTTTAGTTTCTAAAGTATTTGTTCCGTAACATCTTAAAGTGTTAAATATACAGGTTTTTCGACTAATTCTGGCTGATGATGTTAAATATATATAAAATAGTTGTTTATGTATAATTGGTGATTTATGAAATTTTATTTTTTGTGAAGTAATATTTCTGGTAAATAACTTCCAAATAAGTGTCATTTTTTAATATGCTCATATATCTAGAAACTAAACAATTCACAAAATAGAAAGTCATTAAAACTTATATTTCATCATTAATAAAAAGGTTATGACACTTTTAGATTGAATATATCTATTGAATATATTAAACTATTAATATTAAAATTTATATTTAAATTATTTTTCAATATATGTTTATAAAATTAGATTCAGTTTAATATTAATAATAATTTATCGATAATATATTTTAATTTCATAACTAGATTTTAATCAGCTGTATATTAAAAAAACCATTCTAATCACGTGACTAGATAAACAATGAATGAACTTACTATGTAAATATATAAGTAAATATTTACACAAGATACTTACCTATTGTAATAAAAAATGAATATGTATATTTGGTTGATAAATAAATTCTCAGCATACTTATATTTATTTTATATTACTTTTATATTATCTATATATCATGTTATTAACCATATTTATATTAATACATATATAATAATATCTATTTAATTCATAAAAAAATATAAATGAATATAAATTATTATTTATTGAATAAAAATATAATTTTGAAGTAATTAATTTTATGAAATATAAAAATAATAATTTTAAACTATAGCTATTTCATTAAAAATTCTTTCTCTTTCTTAGAAACATTAATAACAAATCTAAATTGAAATATTTACTTATAGTAATAGCTTTATAATATTACAATAATTTTGGGACATTTATTTCGATTATAAGATATATAAAAAAATAAAATTAAAATTAGTATAAGTTTGAATTTATCAATCTATTTTATTTACACATTTAAAATATTTAGTTTCTTTTATTTAAATATATATTAAATAATTTAAATTTTTTTCTGTTATATATTTTTTTTAATTATTTTTTATTACAATAGTATAAACTAGATAAGAATTAGAAATAATAGAAAACATATACAAATATTTAATCAAAAAGAGTGGGGGAGTGTTCCAAAGCGCACAATTTAGTTGAGCATCTCTTATTAACCAATGTAGAGGTTATAAACTTAAGATAGTTCTTTCGAACAACGCATCATAATTGTTTTTCTATATTTACTATAAGTTTACTAAATTAATGGCATTGAAATAATTCAATTATTTGTGTGTTTATGACACACAAATAAGAGAATAAGAGATCTCGATTTATAATTTATTTGACTCGTAATTGACGAGTATCAAACATGAAAAATTTATATGATAGACGTATTGTAATAATGTGATTGAAAACATTTAAATTTTAATCACACATCAAGAAATTAAAAGAAATAATGATAATCACAAAAATAATGTATTATCAAACGCAAAATTTGTGTGATGTCAAGTAGATATGTGAGAAATAATACTAATTTATATCTTTTCTTAACTTTTTTTCATATTTAAAAATGTTATATTTTTTTAGATAACATACGTGAAGATTTATAAAAATAATATTATAAAATTGGCATTTAGAAATTTTTAACAATGTCAAGTATACTTGTACAACAATTTGTTCAGAGACTTAAATCCAGAAATGAAGAAATACGTAACAAAGCAGCTAGAGATCTATGTCTCTATGTCAAAACAGAACTACGTGAAGTATCACAGGAAGAAATTACAGCTTTTATGGATGAATTTAATCATCATATATTTGAAATGGTATCTGGTTCAGATGTAAATGAAAAAAAAGGAGGTATTTTAGCTATAGTTTGCCTTATTGGAGCTGATGTGGGAAACATTAATACAAGAACTATAAGATTTGCAAATTATTTAAGGAATTTATTACCCTCTAATGATGTGGGTGTTATGGAATTAGCTGCTAAAACAGTTGGTAAACTAGCATTAGTTTCTGGTACTTATACAGCAGAATATGTAGAATTTGAAGTAAAGCGTGCCTTTGAATGGCTTGGTGGTGATAGACATGAAGGTAAAAGACATGCTGCTGTTCTTGTTTTAAGAGAACTTGCTGTTTCTATGCCAACATATTTTTTTCAACAAGTAACACCATTTTTTGAACTCATATTTAATGCAATACGTGATCCAAAACCTGTGATAAGAGAAGGTGCTGTTGAAGCATTGAGAGCTGCTTTAGTTGTTACTGCACAGAGGGAAACAGCAAAACAAATGCACAAATCACAATGGTACAAACAGTGTTATGATGAAATAGTGACAGGATTTGAGGAAATATATACTAGAGAAAGAGGAGTAAATAGAGATGATAGAATACATGGTTCACTATTAATATTAAATGAATTACTAAGATGTAGTAATATTCAATGGGAAAAAAATTATGAAGCTTTAATGGAACGATTAAATTGTTCTACTCAACAAAATGAGAATGACATATTGTCATTAATGCCTCGATTAAAAACAACAATAGTATCTAAATGGTCTAATTCTTCTCAAAATTCGACTAATTCTCAACAGACATTATATCCATCACATGAATCTGCAGTATGTCGTTGTTTGATGCAAGAACGATTAGATGATATATATAATGATGTAATGAATCAGAGAATGTCTAGAAATCCACATATTCAACATGCTCTTATGATGTTGTTACCAAGACTTGCAGCATTTAATAAAGAAAAATTTACAAAAGATCATTTGAGAGAATCATTAGCATATCTTCTAATGACTTTACGTAGTAGAGAAAAAGATAGATATGCTGCATTTACAACAATTGGATTTATAGCAGTTGCAGTAGAAGATTCAATAAATCCTTATCTTTCAAAAATTATGGAAGTGATTAAAAGTTTATTGCCTTCTAAGGAAACATCTACTAAGAAACGTGGAGCATCTTTGGAACCTGCAGTATTCATTTGTATAACTTTACTTGGACATGCAGTAAAACAAGTTATAGCTGCAGATGTGAGAGATTTATTAGAATCTATGTTACAGACTGGATTAAGTCCTATTCTTACAACATCTCTCAGAGAACTAGCTCATAGTGTTCCATCATTAAAACCTGATATATCTCAAGGACTTTTACGAATGTTATCTCAAGTTTTGATGCAAAAACCCTTAAGACATCCTGGTGCACCATGGACTGCAACTAGTCCTATATCTGGTCCTCCAACTGAAGTGGATATTCCATCTACAGTTTTAGCTTTGAAAACATTAGGAACATTTAATTTTGACGGTAATCCACTTTTGCAATTTGTAAGGCGATGTGCTGATCATTTTCTTACATCTGAACAAGCAGAAGTTCGATTGGAGGCTGTAAGAACATGTTCAAGATTATTACGATTAGCATTAAATCAACCCGGACCCACAGTGACTAATACTGTCTCTACTGTTCTTGGAAAATTATTAGTTGTAGGTATAACAGATACGGATCCTGATGTAAGACTTTGGGTTTTAGCTTCTCTGGATGATTCATTTGATATTCATTTAGCGCAAGCAGAAAATCTTTCCGCATTATTTATTGCAATGAATGACGAAATGTTTGAAATAAGGGAATTAGCAATTCGCACAATCGGACGATTAAGCACAATGAATCCAGCATATGTTATGCCTTCTTTACGTAAAACACTTATACAATTTTTAACTGAATTAGAACATTCAGGTATGGGTCGTAACAAGGAACAAGCTGCACGAATGTTGGATCATTTAGTAGTCAGTGCACCTAGACTTATTCGACCATATATGGAACCCATTCTAAAAGTTCTTGTTCCAAAATTAAAGGAGCCTGAATCAAATCCTGGTGTAATTTTAGCTATATTACGCGCTATTGGTGATTTAGCAGAAGTTAATGGTGCTGAAATGCAACAATGGATGCCTGAACTTCTCTCTATATTGCTTGAAATGCTAGTCGACGCGAGCTCTCCAGAAAAAAGAGGAGTTGCTTTATGGGTTCTTGGACAACTAGTAGGAAGTACAGGACATGTTGTTAAGCCATATATGCAATATCCTTCATTACTAGATGTATTGATAAATTTCCTAAAAACAGAACAACAACTAATTATTAGAAGAGAAACTATAAGAGTTCTTGGATTATTAGGTGCTTTAGATCCATATAAACATAAAATGAACCTTGGTCAGATTGATTCTCAATTGGATACTCTTACTTCTATGGCTGATACTAAAAGTGAAGCTGAAAATACACAAGACTTAACTACTAGTGAAATGTTGGTCAACATGTCCTCTTCAACTTTAGAAGAATATTATCCAGCTATTGCTATTGCAACTCTTATGAGAATCATTCGTGATCCAACATTATCGCAACACCATACTATGGTAGTTCAAGCAGTAACTTTTATATTCAAAAGCTTAGGAATTAAATGTGTTCCATATATTTCTCAAGTGATGCCAAGTTTCCTTAATGTAGTTCGTACAGCAGATGTTAATTTTCGTGAATACCTATTTCAACAATTGGCTATTCTTATTGCCATTGTGAAACAGCATATTAGAAACTATTTGGATGATATATTTAATTTAATTAAAGAATTTTGGACAGTGAATAGTCCGTTACAAAGTACTCTGATACTTTTAGTTGAGCACATTGCTGTTGCATTGGGTGCAGAGTTTAAGATTTACTTACCACAGTTAATGCCACAAATATTAAGAGTTTTAACACATGACACAAGTAAAGATAAATCAGTCACAGTCAAACTTCTTCAAGCACTTCAAAAATTTGGAAATAATTTGGATAATTATCTTCATTTAGTTTTGCCACCAATTGTAAAATTATTTCATGCTACTGATTGCCCAATAACTGTAAATAAAGTAGCGCTTGAAACTGTTGATCATTTAGCAGATACATTAGATTTTACAGATTTTGCATCCAGAATTGTGCACCCTTTAGTACGAACTCTAGATCAGTGTCCAGAATTACGAAATGCAGCAATGGATACACTATGTGCATTGGTGATACAATTAGGAAAAAAATATCAGATCTTTATCTTATTAGTACAAAAAATTATGACGAAACATAAAATTGTTAATTCACGTTATGAAGTTTTAATTGATAAAATTTTGACAGAAACAACTGTTACTGATGGTGAGGATTATCTCTTAATGAGACATCGACATTCAAGAAACAAAAATCGTGATTTATCGTTAACATCATCTGACACAACTACAATTAAAAGATTACATGTGTCTGCCTCAAATCTTCAAAAAGCCTGGACTGCAACAAGAAGAGTTTCTAAGGATGATTGGCTGGAATGGCTAAGAAGTTTGTCGATTGGTTTGCTCAAAGAATCACCGTCACCGGCACTAAGATCATGTTGGGCTCTTGCACAGACCTATTCCAAATTACCTAGAGATTTATTTAATGCGGCTTTCGTTTCTTGTTGGACCGAATTGGATGATACTTATAAGGCAGAACTTATACAAACCTTACAACAAGCATTAATGGTTCCTGATCTTCCAGAAATAACACAAACGATCTTAAATTTAGCAGAATTTATGGAACATTGTGATAAAGGACCATTACCTTTAGACAATAAAATTTTAGGTGAAAGAGCAATGCATTGTAGAGCTTATGCAAAAGCATTACATTACAAAGAAGATGAATTTCATAAGAGCAGGAATAGTAATGTTTTTGAATCTTTAATCTCTATCAATAACAAGCTTCAGCAGAAAGAAGCTGCAGAAGGTTTACTGGAATATGTTATGAATCAGAATAATCAGCAAGATCTAAAAGTGCAAGTTCGTTGGTATGAAAAACTACATAATTGGGATAAAGCTTTACAATTATATAGAGAAAGACTAGAAAGTGATTCTACAGATGTAGAGTCGACTTTAGGTGAAATGCGTTGCTTGGAAGCTCTTGGAGAATGGGGACAATTGCATGATGTTGCTACCAAACAATGGTCTCATCAAAATGATGAAACTAAACAGAGAATGGCTAGAATGGCAGCAGCTGCAGCATGGGGTTTAAATCAATGGGAAAGCATGGAAAAATATGTCTCTTTAATACCAAAGGATACTCAGGATGGTGCCTTTTATAGAGCTGTTTTAGCAATTCATGATGAACAATACAATATTGCCCATCAACTTATTGATAGTGCTAGAGATTTGCTAGATACAGAATTGACTGCTATGGCTGGCGAAAGCTATCAAAGAGCTTATAATGCTATGGTAGAAGTTCAGAAATTGGCAGAACTAGAGGAAGTGATACAATTTAAATTGGTCCCAGAAAGAAGATCCACCATTAAATCCATGTGGTGGGAAAGACTTCAAGGTGGACAAAGAATAGTTGAAGATTGGCAAAAGATTATACAAGTTCACACATTAGTAGTTTCACCTCAAGATGATATGTATACATGGTTGAAATATGCCAGTCTTTGCAGAAAAAGTGGTAGCTTAATGTTATGTCATAAAACATTAGTTATGTTACTTGGAACAGATCCTTCGTTAACTCCTGACCAGGTATTACCTACCACTCATCCTCAAGTAACATTTGCCTATTGTAAACACATGTGGGTAGCAAATAAACGAGAAGAAGCATACAATCAGCTACAAAGATTTGTACAGATGTCTTTACAACCGACAACTTTATCAGTAGTAAATCAAGAAGATGAGAAGCAACAGGAAATAAGAAAAAGATTACTTGCCAGATGTTATTTGAAACTTGGAGAATGGTTAGAAGCATTGCAAGGCATAAATGAACATTCTATACCAGCTGTGCTATCCTATTATGCTGCAGCTACAGAACATGATCCTACTTGGTATAAAGCATGGCATGCTTTCGCTTATACTAACTTTGAAACAGTTTTATTTTATAAACATCAGCAAGGTGACTCAAATACTGAGAATATTCCAGGAAATGGGACTCATAATCTTTCTAGTTCACAATATATATCTCAATTTACTGTACCAGCAGTTGAAGGATTTTTTAGATCTATTAATCTTTCTCATGGTAATTCTTTGCAAGATACACTTCGTTTATTGACTTTATGGTTTGATTATGGTCAATGGCCAGAGGTATATGAAGCTATTGTTGAAGGTATCCGTTTAATTGAAATTAATACTTGGCTACAAGTAATTCCGCAACTTATAGCAAGAATAGATACACCCCGAGCTTTAGTTGGTCGATGCATACATCATCTTTTAATAGATATTGGAAAAACGCATCCACAAGCCTTGGTTTATCCTTTGACTGTAGCATCGAAAAGTGCTAGTCATGCTAGAAAGACTGCTGCCAATAAAATTCTTAAAAATATGTGTGAACATAGTCCGACATTAGTACAACAAGCAATGATGGCTAGCGATGAATTAATTAGAGTCGCTATTCTCTGGCATGAATTATGGCATGAAGGATTAGAAGAAGCTAGCAGATTATATTTCGGCGAAAGAAACGTTCGAGGAATGTTTGATACGTTGGAACCCTTACATGCAATGTTAGAAAGAGGTCCACAGACTTTGAAAGAAACGTCCTTTAATCAAGCTTATGGCAGAGATTTAATGGAAGCACAAGAATGGTGCCGCAGATATAAAGCTTCACGCAATGTTCGAGATTTAAATCAAGCTTGGGATTTATATTATCATGTCTTTAGAAGAATATCTCGACAATTACCGCAGTTAACTAGTTTAGAACTTCAATACGTTAGTCCTAAATTACTTCTTTGTAGGGATTTAGAATTGGCTGTACCGGGAAGTTATAGTCCGGGACAGCCAATAGTTAGAATAGCAAGTATACATAGTTCCATGCAAGTAATAACCAGCAAACAGCGACCGCGAAAATTATGTATAAAAGGTTAGTAATCTTTAAATTTCACTAGATAATTTAATATAACATTAAAATATATTGAATTGTATAAAATGTTTTAAATGTCTAATATTTGCAGGTAGTAACGGTAAAGATTATATGTTCCTTTTGAAAGGACATGAAGATCTCAGACAGGATGAACGTGTAATGCAATTATTTGGTCTAGTCAATACTCTTTTATTACATGATCCAGATACATTTAGAAGAAATCTTACTATTCAAGTAAATATATGTTAAGAAGGAAAATTTTATATTAATATAATATTTATCAAATAATTAGTCAAATAATTAAGTTATTAAGTATATAGTATTTTATCAAAATTGATAAATAATAAATTTGATATTTTATATTTAGAGGTATGCAGTAATTCCACTATCCACAAATAGTGGTTTAATTGGTTGGGTACCACATTGTGATACATTACATACACTTATCAGAGATTATAGAGAAAAGAAAAAAATATTATTAAATATAGAGCATAAAATAATGTTAAGAGTAAGTATATATTTTACATGTGTTGATATTTTATCTTAATTAATTTAATTATAACAATTTGATTTATAGATGGCCCCAGGTTATGATCATCTTATGCTTATGCAAAAAGTTGAAGTATTTGAACATGCTCTTGAGCATACATATGGTGATGATTTATCGCGGCTTCTTTGGTTAAAATCACCATCAAGCGAAGTATGGTTTGATCGTAGGACAAATTATACACGTTCTCTTGCTGTAATGTCTATGGTGGGCTATATCCTTGGTCTTGGTGATCGACATCCATCTAATTTAATGTTGGATCGTTTAAGCGGAAAAATATTGCATATCGATTTTGGAGATTGTTTTGAAGTGGCCATGACTCGAGAAAAATTTCCTGAGAAAATCCCATTTCGATTAACAAGAATGTTAATCAATGCGATGGAAGTAACGGGAATCGAAGGCACATATAGAAGAACTTGTGAATCAGTAATGTCAGTGTTACATCGTAATAAGGATAGTTTAATGGCAGTATTAGAAGCATTTGTATATGATCCTCTATTAAACTGGCGATTAATGGATAATGCTGCACTGAAAGGTAAAAGATCTGATGCTCAGGGAATGAGTGCTAGTAGTAATCAAGAGCAGAGCGATGCATTAGATTCTCTTACCGCCACATTACCAAAGAAAGGAGTACCATGTAGTGTTGAAAATGGAGGTAAATTATTTATCTGTATGGAATTGTAAGTTTTTTATTTTTTAAGTAGGAAAAATTATTGTAAACAATATATAAACAATTAATATATTTATTATTGTAAACAATTAATAAATATATAATTGAAGATTATAAATGATATATACGATAAAAAATGAATGAAAATTTGTTATTATCATAGGTGATACTAATCAACCAGAGGCATTAAACAAAAAAGCCCTTGCTATTATTACAAGAGTAAGGGATAAATTAACGGGACGTGATTTCTCTCATGAAGAAACACTAAGTGTTCAACGTCAAGTTGATCTTTTAATTCAACAAGCTACCAATAATGAGAATTTATGTCAATGTTATATTGGATGGTATTTTTTTATAACTTTATTTTATAACAATATATTACAAAATTAAATTATTTCCACTATTTATTTGTTAATTATATAATATATAAATAGTACATTTTTTTGAAATGATTAATTATTATTAATCATTATTAATAAAATTATATTTATTTTACAGGTGTCCCTTTTGGTAAACAAAAATTTTTGTAGATGGGGACGTATATCATGTGCAGTCTCGTTCCTGTTTTTGCATTTTTTATTATTAAGAAATAATTATGTATAATGTCGTACCACTAGAACATGTACATATATAAGCTATATTATTATATTGATTGTATATAATACTTATGTTATTCTTGCTTATAAAGTATAATGTAAATTAGAAAGAACATACTTTAGAAATTATATAATAATCAGTTTTTATGTAAACATAGAAAAAATCTACTCAGGAATAAGATTATAGTAACAATATTTTTTTCTTAAGGATTGTCTTTGTATTTATTGAAATTTGTATATATAAAAACTAGCATCACAATTATTACAGTCAGACCATTCATTCAAATTTTTATAAACAAATTCATATAATACAAAATAACAATAATTATATATTTTCATTAAAAGACAGAATATGTCTTGATAAAATAATTAATATATAAAACTTGAAAAAATGAACTTAAAGAAATATTGATATACATGATTTAATTTCTTTCATTAAAAATTTATTGTAATAATTTTGCATTTCCAATTCCAAAAGCATGAGGTAACAAATTGCTTAATGTTGTTTTTAATACATTTTTCATATCAGGTCCTGTTAAATAAATTGGTATATCACCAAATTCTGCAATAGCTTGTCTACAAAATCCACATGGTGTAGTAAAAATATTATTTTTTTTATCAGCTACTACTGTTAAAACTTTGAATTTTCTTTTTCCTTCTGACACTGCTTTAACAATTGCTGTTCTTTCAGCACAAGTTCCTACAGGATAAGATGCATTTTCTACGTTACATCCTGTGAAAATGGATCCATCATCACAAAGTATTGCAGCTCCAACTTTAAACTTACTATAAGGTGAATAAGAGTACTCACGAACTGCTATAGTTTTCTTTATCAAAGATTGAATATCTGGTTCTATAAAATATTGTAAATAAAAAAAGAATTAATATTAATAACTTTTGTTTAATTTTTATTAAATATTATATATAATATTATAAATAGATAAATAGATAGATAAATAATGAAAATACGAATATTATATTATGTTTACCTAGTTTCGTAAAATCAATAATTTCTTCTGTACTCATTATAGTACGTATTATTAAATACCATAAAAAATCAATATTTTAATTTGATATTTATTTAGAAAATCATCATCTTAATACTTGATACTATTTTGATACTTGTCAAAGATAATATTTTTAGATACAACGTAACAATCATGTATTGTAAAATTTTTAAAAACTATGCAAGTATACGTATTATCAAGTATACTATTATCAAGTATTGCATTATATACTTTTGTTCGCTCACACACAAATGTCATGCAATTTATCCGCAGAGCGAGATAATATTGGCCAATATTATTATTGTATTGAATCTATAAGAAGTAACCAATCAGACTCGACCAATTTTTAACTGTTAACAATAATTGACAAATATGATTAATAGAAATATAAGATTAAGAGGTATCAAAAGTTATTTTTAAATTCTACATTTTGTTATTATTTTAACAATATTATTTATTCAAGAAATTTTATAATATCGTTCTAATATTCATAATTCAATTTTTTACCTAACCTTAAATTAAAAATAAAAATTTAATAAAAAATTATGTACATATAACAAATAATTTGAATTAAAATAATAACTAGAATATATATATTTTAATATATATTTTAAAATATAATTTATATTTTTTATGTGACAATGTGAGATAATGATTAACCATAATAATAATATTTGATAATGTAATCAATTGAATTACTAAATCTATTATAAATTAAAAATTTCAGTAACAATATTTAGTAACATTATATATAAATTATTGATATGAAAGAAAGATTAAAGAAAACTATATTTTATGAACAGTCAATGCAGTGTCAATACTTTAAAGAAATTATTTAAAATGGTGATCTAATAAATATATATAGAGTATCAGATTATATTGTTGATCATTTTTGCTACACCATAATGAATTCCCTCTGCTTACTATTGTTTCACTGCAAAATCCGCAGATTATGTTTGATTGAACTTTAGTTACTATTATCAATGCAAGAGAGCGTTCTGTTTTATATTAGTTGCTCAGCTGTTTTGAAGAATCGACGCAGCTTAACAGTGATTATCCGTAACGCAGTGTAGAATTGCTGCTTTCACGTCCAAACGCAAACAGATGTGGAGTGGCTGTCCAAATTTTTGACGTATCTCGTTCAGAATTTTTCGAACAGTGAAGACACTTTTTTTCGTAGAATTTTTATAATATCAACAAACGTGTGATCATAAGTGATCGTGTCAGAGGTTAAAGACATCTAAAGAAAAAAATAAAGAAATCGCCATGAGCGAATTAAGCCAAGAGGAAGTGAGTACCAATACACTGTTTTCAATCGTTATTCAATAGCGTCTGTAAGTCCGTTTTGTTGTTACCTTCTTTTCGTTTTATACTTGCTTTGTTTCCTAATTTTATCCTAAAATGGAATATAATAGACAAGAACATAAGAAAAAATAACAGGATAAAAAAGAAGTCTCATCAGCAAGACAATAATTGTAAAATGCTATTTTTTCTACTGTGGTATTGTGTTAAAATAATTATATAACGATAACAAATTAAAATTAATTTTTTCCATTAATATATAATTAATATAATTCTTTAATAATTTTTATTGAGATATTTGTTACAATGTTACAATTTGTTTATTTCTTTTTTTATAATGTAAACAAAAATTATATATTTCATGATAATATATTAGAAAGACTTACTTTAATATAAAATTTATTTAAAAAGATAATGTATTCTTTATATTTATAAAAGTATTTTTTCATTTTGTTATTGTTTGTATTTTTTGTCTTTGATATAAATATAGTAAATGTTGCATCTTATATAGTTTTGATTATTGAATAATATTTTTCTATCTTCCTATTAAATATTAATATGAGAAATTATTGCACAATAATTTTAACTAAAATTATATTATTTGTTTTTTTAAAAAATAATTTTGTAAGAAAAATAATAAAATTTTATAAATATATATAATATCAAATGTTTCAATTATAGGTAAGAAGAAGACGTATGGCTCGTTTAGCAGGCTTGGACAGCTTTAATTCAACAGTCAATATAAGTCATAATAATGATTCTGTTTCTCCAAACACACCTGGTCCATCTAAAACATTTACAGATCAAATAATATCACCATTAAAACAGCAGCAATTTCAGAATCCTGAACTACCAATGGAAATAGAAGAAAATACTAATAAACAATGTAGCAGTTCTGGTGTTGACATAGATTCAGGAATTGAAAATATGGAAGTTGAGGAATCTGAAAGAAAAGAAGTAAAGCCAAGATCACGTGTAAATATAAATATTTATATTTATAAAAGAAATGTAAAAATATGTATTAAAAATAATAATAATAATAATTATTATTATTATTATTATTATTATTGTTGTTGTTGTTGTTGTTGTTGTTGTTGCATTTATTTTTTAGACTACAAGTTCCAGTACAGAAATAACTACAGAACAAATACATGCAATTATATCACGTGTATTATGCATATCATGGAAAGAACCTACAGAGGGTTGTATATTCTTACCACAAATGGCAATATATGCATTATCAACAAAACTTGTTGATGCCACAGAAATTATTAACCAAGCATTAATGGAAGTCTTATGCATGTTTATGAGAGACGAAGATCCTTTAAAAGAAATTAATATAGATACTTCTTCAGACAGAGAAGATAGTCCAAATAGTCAAGCAAGTCCATTACAAAGCCCAGTTACAACATTTTGTCGTTGTGATATTTGTTGTAAATCATCACAACCTAAAAGTCTCATTTATTTATTAGACTGTTATTCAAGAGTTGCAATTGAAGAACGAAATCATCCAAAGGTATAATTTATATTAACATTTAATTATAATATGTTCATGTTTTAACAGATACAATATTTTTTTCTTTATAAATAGAAATCAAGTACACCACCATTATCTGATATTCTGGCTATTTTAAGAACACAATGTGTTCAATATTCCAGTCTTGTGTTACAAGGCCTAGTTGGTATTTCTCAGTCTTCAACTACATATCCGTTTTCCATGACGCCACTTCTATATCCTGTACTCTCGCAAAGTTTACCTCGTGGCTATTTACATGAACTTGTAACAAGAACACATACAAATTCAGCAATATTTAACAAAATTTTTACACCGCTCTTGCAAGGCTTATATCTTTCAATGCAACAAGCTAGTTTGATTAGAAATACACATCGAAGACCGATCGAAGCATTAGAAGAATTAATAGAAATTTGCTGCGGACCGAGTAGTAACATACGACCAATATGTCGTTTAATTGTCCATCAAATTCAATTTTTACCTGATATTATGACATCAGCTGCTGGTAAAGAAATTACAACAACATCTCTTTTGGGACCGTTTTTGTCAGTTTCTGTATTCGCTGAGGATCAACTGGATGTGGCTGAAAGATTCTTCAGTGGTAATCTATTCGTCGATAAATCAATAAGTTTAACATTGCAACAAGAATTAGAAAGTATCAGAACATCACTCCATAAGATATTTCATGCAATACTTGCAAGTAGTAACTGCCGTGAAGCTATGTTAACATATTTAGCAACATTATTACGTTACAATGAAAAACGTGCTCAAATACAAACGGAAGAATTTTCTCTTGCGGGAGATGGATTTATGTTAAATCTCTTGTCGGTATTACAAAAACTTTCTGTGAAAATCAAATTGGACACAGTAGATCTATTATATCCATTTCATCCAGCAAGTTTCATTGAATAAAAAACGATACAAGGCTGAAACTTACGTGCCAAGAAGTTGCTGATTGGTTGAAATATTTAGAGAGGACACACAAGTGGGTCGAGCCAAAGTTTCCAACACAATGTTGGTTCCTTACTCTACATTGTCACCATATAGCGTTGTTACCGGCTTTACAGAAATACCAGAGAAAGCTGAGGACTTTACGTGATGTGCAAAAAATGCTCGATGATCTACAAGCTACTGAACCACAATGGAAAGATAGTCCTTTCGCTAGCCGTAATAAAGAATTGATAGAACGATGCAAGGAGCAATTGAAACATCTCGGCAAATCGAAATTATATACAGATGCTGGATTAATCGATCCTGTTTTATTGAGAAGGTGCTTACACTTTTATATTTCTGTAGCAGAAATTCTGCTAAGTTTATTGACACAGACTTCGCCAGGAAATCCTATTCCTGAACTGCCTTTGCCACAGGAGGTTCCACAAAAATTTACAGCATTACCAGAATGGTATGTCGAAGATATTGCAGAATTTGTATTATTTACCCTTCAGTAAGTATTATTTTATTGTTATTTTTATTATTACATTATTATTACTAATATATTATATTATTATTGCTTTTTATTTCTTATAGATTTTGTCCTAGTGTGATAGTAAATAATATGGATAATTCTCTCATTACATGGTTACTTGTAGTAGTGTGTACTCCACATTGTATACGAAATCCATATTTAATAGCAAAAATTATTGAAGTATTATTTGTAATAAATCCTAATGTTCAGGTAAATATAAAAAAAAAATCAAATTTTATATTTTCTTAAATAATGTCTCATAATTCTTAATATTAGGGACGAACTGAATCTCTTCATGATCAAGTAATGGCACATCCTATATCAAGAACATTATTAGCTTCATATTTGATGAAATTCTACACAGATGTTGAAACAACTGGTTCTAGTTCAGAATTTTATGACAAATTTTCCATTCGTTATCATATTAGTTTAATACTGAAATCTATGTGGGATAGCCCGGTACATAGAAAATCGATCATCGATGAAAGCAATAATGGAAATCAATTTGTAAAATTTATTAATATGTTAATGAATGATACCACATTTTTACTTGATGAGAGTTTAGAATCGTTAAAACGTATTCACGAAATCCAAGAATTGATGTCCGATCTTAAAGCATGGTCTGCATTATCCCGTGAACAACAACATTCACGAATGAAACAATTAGCAGCAGATGAGAGACAAGCTAGGTCATATCTCACTTTGGCCAAGGAAACCGTTGCCATGTTTCAATATCTAACAGATGATATCACAGAACCATTTTTACGGCCAGAATTAGTCGGAAGATTATGTGCCATGTTAAATTTTAATCTACAACAATTATGTGGTCCTAAATGTAAAAATCTAAAAGTACGAATACCACAAAAATATGGTTGGGAACCAAGAGCTTTACTTAGTCAATTAGTTGACATATATTTACATCTTGATTGTGAGATCTTTGCTGCTGCTTTAGCTGCTGATGAAGTAAGTTTACAATATATTGATAGTATATTAATAAATGCATTAATAATATTAAAAATTATTATTATTATATAATTATTATATATATAATTATAAATTATTATTATATATATTTAATAAATAAATAATATTATAAATATATTATATATTAATAAATAATATTATAAATATTAATAAATGAAATCTATAATATAAAAAACTTTTTCTAACAAATATTATAATTGCAGCGTTCATTTTGTATGGAATTATTTATCGATGCTGCAAATAAATTAGAAAGATCAGTAATCAAGTCTATTATAGAGATTGAAAGATTTGTAGCTCTTGCTGAACGTGCTGCAGATATAGCAAGAGATAATCGTGCACGTGATGCAGATTACGGTGATGCACCAGAAGAATTTCGAGATCCACTTATGGATACACTTATGGAAGAACCTGTTAAACTTCCATCTGGCATTGTTATGGATAAAGCAGTTATTATTAGACATCTTCTCAATAGTGCTACAGATCCTTTTAGTAGGCAACCTCTTAGTGAAGATATGCTTACACCAAGTGAGTAAATAAAATAATTTTTTTTTCATACAAAAAAATTATATGATAACTAATTATTGCATATTTATAGTGCCTGATTTGGAGAAAAGAATATCAATGTGGAAACAGCAAAAGAAAAAATCGACAAAAATATAAATTATGATTTTATTACAATAATCATTTTTCAGAAACATCACGATATTATGTAGTTAATGTTACTACATGATATATTGTATCAGTCCATAGATATATTATTCTATGGCAAATGAATACAGTGCAATGATCTCGCTAATGTGCAAATATTGCACTTAATAAATTTACAGTTTTAATACATTACTGTCTAATACTTAAAACAGACAGTTAAACAGACTGCAGCTATGTAACCAGCTGCATATTACTTTTAAAGAAAAAAAAAAAAATACTTTTAAAAAACTTGTAAATAATTGCTGGTTTATAACATCAATACCCAAAAAATCTTATTTACAAACTTAGCACTTGTTCCTTTGTACGTTCTAAATATATGAGACTGCAAATAAAAAATTAAAAACATATGATCAATTATAAGAATAATAAATTAAACAGCATAGAGACAAAAAAGTTAATATCAATCTAAACTTTTTTATTAAAATTTGTTAATTTATAAATGAAAATAAAAAAGAAAACATTATTTGATGCAAAATTTATGTAAATGATTTATATGTAAATGATAAAATATTTAAAAAAAAATTATATTAAAGTCTCTTTTTAAACATGCGAAATGTTGCACAATAGAAAAAAATAATTTGCAGCGATTAATTTTTAAAGATGTACATGGTAAATGTATCATGCCTATTCCTTCAATAAATTTCATGAGTAAAGATCTGTTTTGTGTATATAATAATATATTATTTAAAACAATTCCATCCAAAAAATATTTTTGTTTTTTCAATAAAGTTTTTTTAAAAAATTATATTAATATTTTTACTATAATTATGTTTTCTTTATTATACAAATTTAAATGATTTTTTTTACTTCAAAACTTGAAGTATATATTTTCATTTAAATTCTTAAAATGATATTAAAAATGTTTAAAAGTTTATAAAAAAAACTTTAAAAAATTAATATTTATTTTTTAAAAATATGATTATAATTTACAATTTTCATATCAATTAAAACTTTGTTTTTATAAATTATATTTTTAAATTTAATTATCAATTACATATTACATAAATTTATCATTAAATAATGTTAAAGATTATTTTAAAATAAATTTAATTGTAAATTTGAAACATAGAAAATATTTCATATAATTCAAATGACATGGAAATATAATAAATTGTATGTTGATTTATATAATCTATTCTAAATTAGTTTTATTATTATTAACTGTTAAAAAATGTTATTTATTATACTCTTATTTAGTGTATTATAATCTCAAAATGTTTAATATTTAATTAATATTATATAAAATTGTTCAGGTTACAAAAAAAAACATTTAAAAATATTAGAAAATTAAGTATTGTTAATATATATTAACTGCCATTGTAATTTTTGCCCATTTTTTAATTTAAATTACATATTAATATTTCTAACATACTTTTGTTTTTATAGAGAATATACATAAGAACATAATTCTTTTTTTGAGAAATCTTTCATATTATATATGTAAATATAAATAAAAATAAAAAAAATTAAGAAATTAAACAAATATTTAAATATAATACATATAAATGGTAAATTATATGTAATAGATTATATAGAAAAACAATAGACAATATTAGTGTATTTTAATTATACTTGCAAAAATATAAAAATTTCAATTTTTTAATATTTTTTATTTAAATGAAATTGAATTATATCAATGAAAGATTGTTTATTGCTCTTCCTCTACCTATTCCAATTAATTTCAATTTATTATTCTTTTGAATAATTTTTCCCCGACCAATTCCCATTGAACTAACTATAGATTCTAAATCTTCAACACAAGAATCGTCACTTGCTTCTCGCAACATAGCTTCAGAAAAACCACGAGGAGCTCTTATGGGTTTGGAATCTTTACTTCTTTCTTCATTTCTTGATATAAATTCAAAAAATTAATGATAAGTCCTTATAATTATATAAAAAAAAATAAAAAGATAATAAATATGTAACAAATTAATATAATTGGAATTATAACTAAATTATTACTTTGAATCAATAGTTATATTAATTGTTTTCGTATTGTTATCCATAGAATATTCTTCTTCAGTTAAAATAACAGAGTTATCATTAATTTCTATGTCCCAGTTTTCTGTACAATCTATTGTACTTGAAAGATCTGAATATATCTCAAAATTTGTTGCACCATGTTTTTTTGTTTCTATGAAATATAATATTTTAACAATAATATCATTAAACAAGAGAAAATTAGAAATAAAATAAAAAAAAACCTGGATATATTTCATTTAACACATTACGAGCAGAACACGTAATGATATGCTCCTCTAATTCTTCCTTAAATAATCGGTGCGTAGCATTATATGGACACATAACTTTATAATGTTCAGGATACCGCTATTTTTAAAATTTATTATATTTATATAATGATGATATAAATATTATTTTATATAAAAATTAAATTTATTTGTCAAAATTAACAAAAAACTAATGCATTTATAATATTTTTTTATAATTCACTTACTTTTTCACATTTGACTATGTGCTTTTGAAGACGAGATTTTGCGATAAAATGATTTTTGTCATATGGACATATTATAATCGGATCATGGAGCGTAAGACATTTATACATTTTGAGTTTATTAAAAATATCCTATTAAATATATTAAATATACAAATAATAATAAGAATGTCTTTTATGTTTTAATAATTTTTTTCTATGATCGAAATTATTTCTTCGATATATTGCTTAAAATCGATAGTATATAAAAATCGATATATAGTCGATTTATATTTATATCGAGAAAAAATTGTAAAAAATATTACAATATATAATATATATAATATTTAATATATATATATAATATATATATATATAATTCAAATTAAAATTCAATTTAATTTATTACACATATATTTAAATTTTAATATAAGTAAAAGAGGAAATATTCTAGATGTATTTTGTTTTCATTGACATTACATTTCTTAGTCTATAAATCAAAATAAATCAAAGATTAAAATAAATATTCTATTTTTATATATAATCATTATATATAATATATAATTTATACATATAATTGATACTAATATAGAGATTAAATTTTTTGTCTTATATTTTTTTTTGAAAAATAAAATATTATTTCAAACAAGAGTTGAAAATAATATTAAAAATGTATGTTTAATATTAATTATTTTTTGATTTATTTGCATTGTATAGTTTTAAAAAAAATATAACAAAAATATAACAAAATAATTATAGATAAACTTATGTAAATAATTTAATAATAATTCTTATATTATAAATCTTTAACATCAAATGATGAAATAATATAATTTATTATTAATATGCTATAAGAATTTATTATATTTTTTTTTGTAAATTTATTAATTTATAAAACATGAAAATTTTCAAAGTTTATTCCCAAAATTCTTAATTCTTACATTTTTGAAATTACAAAAACTATGCATATGGTTTCTTTTCATAAATAATATTACTTAATTTTTAAACACTAAAATAAATTATTATATAAACATATTTAAATAATTATAATTTCATAAATTTATATTCTTTTTATTCCTATCCTATGTGCAAAAATATTACAGTAATTATACACACTGGAAAAATTAAAAGTACAAATTCAAAATTTTAAATAATGTAATTTGTACATATCAAAGATCATTATATTATTGGAAAGATATATCCAAATGTTTATTGTATTATAAATATTCATAATATAATACAAATAAGAAAAATGTTTTATAATATACATGATAATGTTCATATGAAAAAAGTTAATAAATGTTAATTTTTCATAAAACTAAGAAGCAAGATTGAATAATATCAATTGATTTTAGATAATTTATAACAATCCAAATATAATGATAAGAAAGAAAGATTTATATAAAATTATACATAGATAGGCTAATAGCTGCCCATACAATTATTTTAATTATTGAGTTTCTTTAAATAATTATATAAGTATGTTACAGATAGGGAAGAGGATCGACAAGTAAACAAGCAATAACATATAAAATGCCCAGAAACATATTTAATTTAGCTGTTTGCTTAGGCACACTCTGAATCATATGAGGGCTTCTGAATTGTTTTTCTATTTTGAAGGCAGTTGGTAAAGTGATAACTGGTAACAGAAACCATATAGAATACCTTAATGCAAGCACCACCAGAGTTACATATGGTGTGAATAATAAAAAAGCATATAAAACATGAGATACAGTATGACCTATTAAAATAGCTAATGTTACTATTCCTGCTCTTTTATCACTCTCTAAATCTCGAGTATTATTACTATGTAAAATAGCTTCTGTATTTAGAGCAAGAGGTATAGCATAGTATATTGTACCTAATTCAATATAACCTGTTTGAGCCATGAATGCAAATAAAACTGAAATAGGACCAAATATAACTAAAATAAGAACATCACCTAATGCAATATATTTAAATCCTATTCCTCCTGTATAAAGAAATGAAGAAGATAAACCTCCAAAATATACAAGTGCAAGATGTTCCATTTTTGCAGGAGATATGGTAGTTAATAGAACAAAACCTAAACATCCTGCTGTATATAATAATGCACCTAATGAAACTAATTCATCTTTTGATAAAAGTTGATCTACTAATATCCTATCATCACTTTTCCGACTATCTACTCCTTTTATATAATCAAAATATGTATTTACTACATTACCAGCTCCATGTACACAAAAAACTGTATATACTGTAAGGATAAAAGATATCCAGCTAAAATTTGCTATGCTTGTTAACCGATAAGCTAATGCAGATCCAAGAAGTGTTGGCATTAATGAAGCACTTAATGACCAAGGTCGTACAGCTAAAAAGTATGAAGACAATTTCATAAGTGGAGAATTCAATGTTGAGGATGATATTGGTGAACAATTGGTATTGTTTGACATTGATTTTCCTCCAACTTCTTTAGTAGAAACCCAAATACCATTGGACATCATATTTTATATTCTGCTATAAATAAAACAAATCAATAATATTATTACATAAAAATAAATTCTATAATTAACAAATTTAAAAAGAAAATTAAAACTAAATTCTTTAACTAAATTCTTGATCAACAAAAAATATACAGAATATATTTAAGGATTTATTACTACATGGAAAGAATTTTACTAATTAAAAATGAACTATTGATATAATTAATTTATAATAACATTATATAATTTTATAAAGAAATTTATTCTTTAATATAAATATATAATAATTAGATGAACTTACCTAGTATTCGTTTAAAGAGAAAATGTTAGGTTAGAACAATCTCCATACTGTATTCGAAATTGTTACATTTTTTAAGTATTTATTAATTAATAGGAAAATTATTAATTATGCAAAAAAAAAAACAATTTTCACATAGTTAAATTTGAAATTCTTAATTGAAGAAGAATTTAATTCTTCTTCTTATGTATCGTTACATATGACGATGACGTGTTTTCATTAATATGCACGTGGCGCTCTCTAAAATATTCTTTTTTTTCATAAAGTCAACAATATCGTTAATAAATTTAACTTTCACAAAAAATATTTAGAAATATCTAATTACTCTTTATCTTTAATTTCAGAATATTGTACTATTTATTATATTATATATTTTTATTATATTTTTGTTAATTTTTAAATAAACAATATCTATTATTTTTAAATATATCAATAAATATATGACATATTTAAAAAATTAGATA